CCGAGAGGAGGTGCTTCTCGTCATCCACTTTTGGTGCGACCATCTCAAGGGACTGGGCCTGGAGTGTCGACTGCCTCGCTATGGAGTGGCAACACTATCAGAGACGTAGAAGCTTTGCTGGCGGGTAATTCTGAAGGTACTCGGATATTCATGACGGATCAAGTCACCGATGCGTTGTTTGGAGAACGGGGAGCCTTGCAACCTGCTCAGATACTGGACGCGTCCATGGACCCCATGCTACTGATGGGACGTCGAGGTGGCAGGAGCGAATCGCGTCTTAGCAGTTGGACGGACGACGGGCAAACGCAGTCAGGAACTCAATCAACAGCTGTTGCTCAAGCAGTCGAAAGTGCCTTCGTTGCACGGCTTCAAGCGTTGGCTACGTCTGATGATCAGCCAGAAGCTGCAAGACAAGCGGGTACCGAAGCACCAAGTGCTGAGCCGGCTGCAAATGCAGTTGCAGCTGATGCACCTGCTCAGGAGACGCAAGCTACTGGGGAAGCAGAGCGCCGGGAGCCTTCGGGTATTGCTTGTCAAACAGATTTAGATATGGCGGTACAGGATGTTCCAGCCGGTCAGAACTCTGAACGAAGCCAAGATAGTGGAGGAAGCGGTGCAACTCTTGGTGAAAGTTTGAGGAGCCTGGAAGTCGAGATTGGTAGTGCCGATGGCCGGGAAGAGAATGATAGGCAAGTTCACTCTGAACGGCTCGGTGCGGAAGAAATGATTCCAGCTCGTGGTTTGGAATCGGCTAGTAGGGAGGCTCACATGGAAGTTGACGAAGACCTGGACAATGTTGTCAGCCAGCAAGCCCAAGCGACTGTGCAGGAGGATTCAGTTCAGGCGCAGGCTACAGATCAGCAGGATGCTGGGGAAGAGATCACGGGAAGAAATGATGCAAGCTCTATCGATCCGAGGTTTTTGGAGGCTCTTCCCGAGGATTTACGAGCAGAAGTTTTGGCTTCCCAGCAGAACCAGAGTAGCAGAAACAACGTTGAAAATCATCCGACTCCTCCCACTGAGGAAATCGATCCGGAGTTCCTGGCTGCGCTACCTCCCGAACTTCAAGCTGAAGTGCTTGAGCAGCAGCAGGCTCAGCGCATCTTTCAAAGTCAGCAAGTTGAAGGTAGACCAGTGGACATGGATAGTGCATCAATAATTGCCACTTTCCCGGCTGAATTAAGAGAGGAGGTACGTTTTAGTTTGTCTTTCTTCCATCTCCTTGTTAACATCTCTTGGTCAGGTGTTGCTGACATCATCGGACGCTGTTTTAGCTGCGCTGTCTCCTGCGTTGCTTGCCGAGGCACAGCTGCTTCGGGAAAGAGCCATGGCCAACATTCCGACAAGAAACCCGTTCGGGGGACCTAGGCTTACTGCGAGGAGGACGAACGGCATTGATAGGGGCGTCAGTGCGGGAATGTTTTCAGTTGGTCGCAGATTACCTTCTGCTCGAAGCTCGGGTTCTGCTTCTGGTCCAAAAGAACCCGAAGGGAAGGCTTTGGTGGATGAGCAAGCTGTGAAAACGCTAGTTCGGCTGTTGCGCTTAGCACAGGTTTGTCTTCTTATGTTTCTCGAATGCTTTCTAAACCTGTTTTACATTTTACTGCAGCCATTGATTAAAGGTCTGCTGCAAAGGTTGCTTTCGAATCTTTGTGTCCATAGTGGAACCAGGTCTGCATTGCTCCGTCTTCTATTGGACATGCTCAGGCCAGAATCGGAGGGATACTGTGCAGCCATATCAGCTGATGGTGCGCCCTCTCAGAGGCTTTATGGCTGTCAGTGGAACGTCGTGTATGCACGCGCTCAGCTTTCGGATGGTATTTCTTTTCTTTTCTCTTTTTGTGGAAACCTTTTAACCTTTTTAAACATTGCAGGAATTCCACCGCTTGTTTCTCGTCGAGTATTGGAAGTACTGACACATTTAGCACGTAGTCATACCTCGGTAGCAAAGTCTCTACTATACCTGGAGCAGGAACCATCAGAAAGAGGAAACGAAGCTGCTGATAAGGGAAAGGAGAAGATGTATGAGAATCCGTCTTCTTCGACCGCGAGCGATATACAACCGAAGTATATACCGATAGTTTTGTTTTTAAAACTGCTGGACAGACCACTCTATTCTCGCAGCAGCCAACATCTCGAGCAAGTGAGTCATCCTTTTCTGTTTCCTGACACTAGTAAATGTGAATTTTCTCAACAGGTTCTTGGCTTGCTAGAAGTAGTCACGAGTTGCACTGGTATGGACAGTGATGCGATTGACAACTCAAATGGCCTTCCTTCGGATACTCAGCCATCGGATGCTCCTCAAGAGACATCTTCTGAGTCACCTCAACAGCAACCGGAGAACCCTCCAACTCCATCGATTACTTTGAGTAAAACGGAAGCTGATATTCTTTCAAAGTTGCCAAAGAATGAGCTCTGCAACATGTGCAGACTTTTGGCACAGGATGGGTGAGTTGTCACAAATTACTCGATTGTGGCCTGACGTACTCGTCTTGCAGGTTATCTTCTGTTTCATATTCCCGTGTTTCCGAAGTGTTGAAGAAATTATCGGACGCTGTTCCGTTGCACCGTCGACTGTTTATTTCAGAACTGGCAGACGCAGCTCATAAACTTAGTGTCCCAGCCGTCAATGAGCTGCGGTCGCTGGCGGACAATATTTCCGGTGGAAGCTCTTCGGCTGGAACTGCAATTTTGAGAGTTTTACAGGCTCTTAGCGCCCTTACAAACCGGGACGCTAAAGCAGACGAGCTCCAGGACATCATACGCGAGCTTAACGTCGTTACGGAACCATTGTGGCAGCAACTCAGCATATCCATAGGAAGGATAGAAAGCAGGCTTACTACGAGTTCTTCTTCAAGCATTGTAGGTGCTTTGGGGGCCGTCACCTCTCCGCTTCCCCAAGGGTCTCAGAAAGTGCTGGATTTTGTGGAGGCGTTTCTGGTTTTGTGCGAGAAGCTGAGACCACAGACCGAGGGAACAGGGATTGATCTAGAATCACCAAGCAGCACGTCCGATTGGGCTCACACTGGCAGTTCGAGTTTCAAGTTGACGAATAGACCCGACGAAAGAGGCTTGAACTTTATACGGTTTGCGGAGAGGCATCGTCGGCTTTTGAACGCCTTCTTGCGGCAAAATTCGGGCTTGCTGGAGAAGTCTTTCTCGCTTCTACTCAAGACTCCCAGGCTTATCGACTTTGACAACAAACGAGCCTACTTCCGATCAAGGATCAGGCAGCAGCACGAGCAACAGCACTTCGGACCTCTTCGGATTTCGGTCAGGAGAGCCTACGTGCTGGAGGACTCGTATAACCAGTTGAGAATGCGGACTCCTGATGAAGTGAAGGGGCGGCTTACAGTGCAGTTTCAAGGGGAAGAGGGAATAGATGCGGGTGGCTTGACCAGGGAGTGGTACCAGCTGCTTTCACGGGTTATCTTTGACAAAGGAGCGCTTCTGTTTACGACCGTGGGGAACGAGTCCACTTTCCAGCCCAACCCGAACTCGGTGTATCAGACGGAACACCTTTCGTACTTCAAGTTTGTTGGCCGTGTGGTAAGTACCAGATGTCTTTCGTGGAAGGAAAGTTGTGAAACTTTTTTCGTGGCAGGTTTCTAAGGCGTTATTTGACGGGCAGCTTCTGGATGTCTACTTTACGCGATCGTTTTACAAGCATATACTTGGCACCAAGGTGACATATCACGACATTGAAGCTGTTGATCCCGACTACTACAAAAACTTGAAGTGGCTCCTTGAGGTGCGTCCGTGTGTCCCCTGTTTGTTTTAGTGAAATATGCTCATTGTTTTAATGCAGAATGATGTGAACGACATCCTTGGGCTAACATTCAGCATCGACGCGGATGAAGAGAAGCACATTCTTTACGAAAAGACTGAGGTACTTACAATTTTTCTTGCGACTGGCTTCCAACTTTGTTTGCTACTACAGGTGACTGACCACGAGCTGGTTCCTGGAGGCCGAAACATCCGAGTGACGGAAGAAAACAAGCACGAGTATGTGGATCTCATCGCGGAGCACAGATTAACCACGGCGATCAGACCGCAAATCAACGCCTTCTTGGAAGGCTTCAATGAGCTGGTCCCCAGAGAGTTGATATCCATCTTCAACGACAAGGAACTGGAGCTCCTCATCAGTGGTCTGCCTGAAATAGATTGTAAGTTCTGCTGTTTTGTTTTTTTGATCTTCACTTAACGACGGTTGCTTTTTTGCAGTGGATGATTTGAGAGCCAACACCGAGTACACGGGCTACAGTAGCGGTTCCCCAGTGGTGCAATGGTTCTGGGAAGTGGTACAAGACTTTAGCAAGGAAGATATGGCTCGGCTTTTGCAGTTTATTACGGGGACATCCAAGGTATGCGATAGATGATCTTTTAGACGTTCTTCCAGCTGAGTTAATAATCTTGTGGCCTGTGCAGGTCCCACTGGAAGGCTTTAAAGCACTACAAGGCATCTCAGGGCCTCAAAAGTTTCAGATTCACAAGGCTTACGGTGCACCGGAGCGTCTCCCTTCGGCTCACACATGGTAACTCTCGCTCTCTCCCTCTCTCTCCCTTTCCCTCTCCCTCCATAGTTTTCTAATTCGTTCTTGCGCTCTCGCAGTTTCAACCAGCTCGATTTGCCGGAGTACTCGTCCAAAGATCAAATGCACGACCGGTTGCTCCTGGCGATCCACGAAGCGAGCGAAGGATTTGGATTCGGCTAAAGTGGCTTGTCGCAGGAGTATGTGTAAAATAAGCTTTCTTTTCTTCCCGAGGTGGTGCATTGCCGGACGAAATTTTTTTTTTCCTTCCCTTCTTGCTTTGTTCCTCTTATCTGTATATACACAGCATTTTGCTTCCTTGAAAACGAACAACTAGAATAAATTAGCATATGCCAAGGGAATATAACCTAGATTCTAGACCCTAGAGGATTTAACCTATCCCACATGCCGTGGTGTGGAATGAAGCCCCCAAAGCAGTATATAGCCTAGGGCTTGAGGAGGATTTACATACTTACCTGGACGGGTTCTATTGGTGATTATGAAGGCCAATGGCTTAGGTTCGGCTTTCCCATTGCACTTCGGCTTGGCCGGCCTACCATCTTCCCAAAGTGGAGGAGTGGACGTCGTAATTTGTGGAAGCTGAGGGCTCGCGTACGCGCGGCCCTCTCCAAATAAAAAACTTTTAAGTTGGAACTCAGAAAATCAGGTGATTTAAATTACATCGAAGGTATAACACTATCTTTGGATTGCATCGCTAAGTGTAGTTTTCTCAACAGGGGTTGACGAGGTGGAAGGCCTGGTGGTGATTGGAAACTTTGATGTGGACGACGTGGTCAAGGCAATGGATTGCCACCATAGTGTTCTTCGCTCCATCGAGAACGATTACGAGCCCCCAAAGAACAAGGAAGAGAAGGAGGAGGGGGGCTGTGGTTCTACTTCTAGCGTGGTATATGTGTACACCCACACCTACAATCACTGCAACGAGTCCAACTAAAGCTGTTCTAAGCAAAAGTTTCAAGAGTTTCGTGAGGGATTGGATTGGATTTTCAATAGCAGGTGTGAATAAGTAATAAGATCTACACTGCTTCCCGCGTCATTTGCTATTGACTTATAGTCGCAGATCCGGGTACTACCGTAGATTCCCAGAATGTATGTAACATGACAAGGTGGAACGAACCAACAGAGAGGACAAGAAAAACAAGGGGAGCCAAGCGCAAGAACAACTTTTTGTTTCGACGTCGAACTGTTTTTGATCTCGAGGAAGATTCAAAGTTTCGCGAAAAAAAGAGAGATAGATAACATTTTAAAGTCAACGCAGCGCTCGTTTGGGCTTGGGACGGGGCCTGGAGAGCCATGCAAATGCTTATGCATCTAAGATCCTAAGAGAGCAGAACAAGATCTGGTTGTGCAAGTCAATTTCATAAGAAATACCAAGAGGTGACGCAAGTCTTGAATGTTTAGACGAGTGAAATCTTCTTTTGCATTGCCAAAGCCCGGCGAAATGGGGAATTCGGTAGTGGACGCGTTCTTCTACGATGGCTTAACGTAGAATCCAGCTATAAAATCAGTTCAAAGACGAGCAAGCAAGAGCAGCTCGAGCAAGTTTTTTTTTTGCAAGCAAGAAGATCTAGGTAGTTTGTCACGACTGCTGGCCACCATCGAGCGTCACGGGCAGCGGCACTGCCTCTTTCTCCACTCCATCTCTTCCAAACAAGACCACCGAGAAGCACATAAAGCTGGTAGCGGCCAGCGTGAAGACGATGGAATCACCTGGATTGAGCTGGTTGTAGACCGAAAAGGCGTGCCATCCTGCTGCGCCCAGCCGGATTGTCTGGCTCTTTGCTTCCGCCTCGTATTCTATCTCCCACTTCACACCGCTTCGTGTCTCGAGGATCGCTTTTCCCCGACTGCTAGCGGCGCTGCTCAGGTAGTTCTCGGGAACTGGCTGCCACGGACCAGACAAGATTCAAGAAACAAAAAAGTGAGAAAAAAAATTAAACTTTCCCTGTCGAAGCTTACCAAGATCAAGCAGCAGCTCTCGGACAGGAGCTCGCTTCGCATCACCACGCAGAAGCTGTGCTCTCCCACTGTTCTCAAAGCTTTCCTTTGCCTCGCGCGCTTCTTCATCTCTGGCCCAGGTAGTTCTGCTGTAACAGAAAAAAAGGGAAAAAGAAAAAAGAAAACAGATTCTTGAGAGATTAAAAAGCCCGAAATACAAAAGAAAAACATTACAACCAAAGAGCTGCAAGACAAAAGAAAATCAGTGTTAAGTTAAAATCACCAGCAGAGAGGAAATGAAGGAAAATCTTCTAGACCAGTGCAATGGTGCTTTCACCACCCGGTGGCTTCCTCACACCGCCAAGGCAGTCTCGCGGCACCGGCTTGTCATCAGCAAATATATCGTTACCACTCATCTCCCGAAGCTTTGCGCTGCTCAGGTGCTTCGAGTCGGATGGAGTCTTTAGAGGATCATTTTTAAAAATGTCGTTGCCACAAAGCTCGGCAGTTTTCTGTGTTAGTGACCGCTTCCTTTCCCCGGGAGACTGCAATTAACAAAGTGTTAAAAAAGCATCAGAAGTTCCAGATGAACTTTACCATGAGGCCGGGAGCATCATCTACAGGAATTGTTGGTTCCTTGATTTTTTTAACTGGGGTGCTACCATTCTGTGGTAGCTTGTCTTCTGGAGCAAAAATGTTGCTACCAACAAGCTCCTTCACCTTGGCATTGGACTGGAGACGCTTGTGCTGTGCGTCATCGTCGGGAATGGCTTGACTTCCGCTTAATTCTTTCTGCTTTGCAAGCTCTGCTTGGGTGGTGGCTTTTCTAGGGGACGTATTATCGTTGTCACCGAAAGTAATCGCCTGGAAGATCCAATTTTTCCTTTCCTCTTAGCAAATTCACGCAAACGAACCAAAATCACCTGAAAGAGTTTCACTCCAGTGCGTTCTGGGGCGGCGGGAACAGCACCAGGCTCGTCGCAGAAAATCTTGTTTCCTGACATTTCTTTCATCTTTGATTCTGATCCGGGGCGCCTAAAAGAGACAGCGAGTGGTACGATGAAGATCAAACAACAACAAAAAAAAAAGAAAAAGAAAAAGAAATGAGCACCCACCGCTTAAGCAGCGCCTCGGCCTCCTCAGAGGACAGTTGCTCTCCAAACGCGTAAGTACAAGCACCGCCCGCGGGCTAAGATGCGCAAGCTTAGAAACAAAGCAAGAAAGAGGGGAAAAATCTGTGAGCGAGGGTTTGGTGATCCCGACCTGGTGAGTCCGGATTCCGGGGCGGCCTGCCGAGGAATACTCTCGGTAGCTCTCGTCCGACGCCGACGCGAAGCCTTTGCTGTCGTTGGTCGCCGAGACGCGCACTGGGGTACGAATCTGGAGCGATGCGTCGGGATTATCCGGCCAGCTCAAGAGATCGAGATTCCTGGAAGCCTTTCCCGGCGGTGGAGGCGACATCCTGCCACACAGGCAGCCGCATTGTTACCCACATTGCCACAACAAGCAACAGAAGCGAGATCGCCTCGCCCTGGCGCTGGATCGAGAGAGAGAGCGAGAGAGGGAGGAGGGAGCTACCTTGAGGCGCCTAGACGTGGAGTGGAAGAACCCTAGCCCTAGCCCTGGCCACAATGAAGCAACAAGAAAGCACTGCTCAGCACTTCTTTGTAAGATAGGCGCGAAAAAGCGGGCATTTGGGCAGAAATCCGGGGAGGCATTGCACGGACGGCCCAGATGTGCCAAATCCCGGCCGCCGGATGGACGGCGGATCTAACGTCACAAGAGGGAATATTTAAACAGGAAAAACTTTAAGCGATTAGGAAAAGAAAAAGCGAAAGGGAAGTTTTATACAAGGCTTGTGTCTGAGAGTGTTCCATGCACGAGCGTCGGATCGAGAGCTCCAGAACTGTCCACGTGTTGCAAAACTAGAATAGAAGCCCTAGAGCGCCTCTAAATTTAGCGGACAAATGCTGCTGGGAAGGAGCTCGAGATGCCAGTTCCTATATAATTTTCTCGAAGATCTTTTGCTTCCCTTGCCTTGCCGGCTATGGCGGCCGATTCCAATCCCTCCTCTCTCTCCAGCGATTACCAAAACGGTAGCACAAGTTTCCAGCTTACAGATGATCACGAGCGCGATCAAAATGTGCCATGGATTCTCGACCAGGCCGATCACCCGGCGCTCATGATCGACGAGGCTGAGCACGAGCCTTGGGGATCTGCGGGTGAGGATGACAGGCTAGGCAATCTAGACATGGAGCAGCAACTGCGGATCAACCACAGCTTCATGCAAATGCAATCGATCTTTGGAGCGGAGGATGACCCAACAAAGATGCCGCTTCTGGGTAACTGCTGGAGCACGGAAGATCCGTCCCCATGGAACCATTCGGCTGCTTTTTCCGAGGATCACCACCAGCAGGGGAACGGGTTCTACTCGCATGATCACAGTAATGTGTTCGTGAGCCTTCCTCCTCCACAGCAGCAGCTTCAGATCATTGAGTCATCGCCGTTGACGGGTGGAGGGCAGATCATGGCCGTTGCGAGCTCGTCACCTTGTGCTTCGACTAGGGCTGCCAGGAAGAACTGCATGGCTCGCAAGAGGAGGCCAATGCTCGGCACTTCAAAGCCCGGTCCTACTTCTGTTTCTGCTGCTGCTGCTCCTGCTCCTGCTGTGGCTGCCGTTTCAGATGTGGAAACTACACTCCCTGACGATCACACGCAGGTGCCCACATTTTCGGAACTTAGAAGTTCCTTCACGTTCTTGTTGGGAATGTTTGCAGGGTTTGCAGAACAAGAATCTGAAGTTTTTGCTGCAGAAGCAGCTCAAGCCCAGTGACGTTGGGAATTTGGGAAGAATTGTGCTTCCCAAGGTGGGTGACTTACTGTTTAATAACCCTTTTGTGATCCAGTTCTTTTATGCAGAAAGAAGCTGAGTCTCGACTTCCCTACTTGTCAGCCAGGGAAGGAATGACATTGGCGATGGAGGACATGACCAGCAAACGAACTTGGAATCTTAGATATAGGTAAACTTGGCACTTAGTAAGAGATTTGTAAGGGTTTCTCTTTGTTATTCTTGTCCAGGTTTTGGCCAAACAACAAGAGCAGAATGTATCTATTGGAGAACACAGGGGAGTTTATCCGATCGCACAAACTTTGCGAGGGGGATTACTTGCTACTGTACAAAGACTCACGAAATGGGAAATATGTAAGTAGTCATTTTTCAATGTTTGGATGTTTACCTTTGTGTGTTTGTGTTTCAAAGGTAATATATGGTAAGAAAGATGTAAGCGGTAGTAATGAGAAACGCCAAGCTCCAAAGCAACAAGAAGGCTGCATGGTGAAACGATCAAGATCGTTTGATTGCGAGAGGAGGAAACCAGCTGCACCCACGCTAACATCGTCATCTTCATCGTCGTCCATACTAACAACAGCCGGGGTGATCGATACTGGGCTTAGCTTCACTGACATTAAACAGGGACTTGACAAAGATCAAGAGTCATTCGGATCGAGCAATGTGGTGTTTGATATCGATCAATTCCCATTGCTCGAGGTGAATGATCTTGCCATCGATGAAATTTTGGATCTTGTAGACTTACCAAGTTGAAGTATCTCTTTGAAATAAAAGTAATAATAGAAGTTATAAGGTGATATTAAAATTAGGGTTCTACGGTTCTTTGGTTTTGGAGAATGAATCCCAGCTTGGCGGAACAGATCCTGCAATACGCGCTGGTGGCAGCGGCGGTTCTGGCGATGGCGTCTGGGCTGCTCACTGCCTCCTTGAAGACGATGGTGCTCGTCTATGGCGGCTCGGTGTTCGTTGTCTTGCTCGTTTTGATCCCGGATTGGGCATTCTTCTGCCGGCATCCTCGGCACTGGGTGCTTCCCACGCCCAACTCGCCAGATCCCAGCCAGGACTCCCACAAGATCCGGCGTGATTGATCGTGCTCTGGGGTTTCTTCCTCGCGTAGGTTCTTGTTTGTGTAATCTCGGCTTTTGCTGACCATTCTTGATTGAACTGATGTTCTTCCGTACAGAGAGTACTGTGTGAATCGGGATTTTTCTCGATCGTTACCTTGAGTGGAATCGAAATGCAAGCACGATTTCTTTCCCCCAATTGCGTGATCTGGTAGAAACTTGTGCGCGTGGCTTTTGGATGATCTTGGCGCTCTCCAGTCCGATCCCATCGTTCCAGCAGCTGTGCTCTCGCGTCCGCAATTGCAGAGATGTCTCGCAGGGAAGAGAGCTCCACGCACTTGTTCTTCGCAGCCCATACAGGGGCGATACATTTCTCTCCAATCTCCTCATCCAGATGTACGGGAGCTTCGGCAAGCTGGGGGACGCGCGCGCGATCTTCGATTCCACCCACGCCCGCGATTCACACACTTGGAATCTCATGGTCACGGCGTACGCACGGATGGGACGCCTCGAGGAGGCGCGGCTGCTCCTCGATTCGATGCCCTACTGGAATCCAGTGGCCTGGAATGCCATGATCACCGCATATGCCCGGAATGGGCATTGTGACTCTGCTATGATTCTCTTCCAAACCATGCCCGCGCGAACGGTGGTGACGTGGAACGCGATGATGCAAGCGCTCGTGGAAGCAGCAAGATACTCCGATGCCGAGTCCTTGTGGCGGAATATACCCGAGCTTACCGTGGTGACGTGGACGACCATGCTTGTAGCATTTGCCCGGCAGGGGCATATTGCCCGTGCCAAGGAGATCTTTGATATGATGCCCGAGAAGAATGTCACCACATGGACTGCTATGCTCAATGCCTACTGTGCTGTCGGGGATTTGGCGACCTCAGAAGTAATTCTAGAGTCTATGCCGGAACACAACGTTGTCTCCTGGACAGCAATGGTTGTTGGCTATGGCCACAAGGGGAATCTCGAGAGCGCTAAAGTGGTGTTCGATTGTATGCCAGAATATTCACTAGTGTCCTGGACGTCCATGGCACACGCGTACGCATCTAGAGGGCATATGACCGAGGCCGAGAGAATGTACGGTTTGATGCCAGAACAAAACGTTGTGACCCAAACCTCGATGCTAGCAGGATATGCCCAAAATGGGCATCCGGAAAAGGCCAAGAGTGTTTTTGACGCCATGACCGAGAGAAACACCGTATCCTGGAATTGTATAATTGGAATGTTCGCCGCGACCGGGCAGCTCGAAGCCGCCAAGCGGCTGTTTGAGGCGCTGCCCGAGCCAGACGTGGTGACCTGGACGACCATGATTGGCGCCTTCTCTAACACGTGGCACGGGCAGCACTACTTCTACCGCCTCAACGTCGAAGGCATCCAGCCCAGCGAGGTGACATTCACCGGCATTTTGTCCGGGGCCACCGCCTGCCAGCTAGGACGGTCGCGCTTCGTGGACATGGTGGGCGATTACCACGTGGCGCCATCCACGGTGCACTATGGCTCCATGGTGGACGCGCTGGGCCGGGCCGGGCAAGTGGAATATGCGGCGCGGCTGGTGGAGGAGATGCCCGTGCCGCCGGATGCCGCTGCGTGGGGCGCGGTACTGAGCGCTTGTAAAACACAGCGCGACGTGAGCCGCGCGGCATGGGCGGCAGTCCGCGCGTTTGATGTGGACCCGGCCAACGACACGCCTTATATGCTTCTCTCCAATGCCTACGTTAGCTAGCTCTCTCTTCTCGAGTCAATGAAATCAGTCAACTCATTTACTAATGAAGAAAGTCAATGGTTCTGGTCTCTATGAAATGGGCACAAAGATGAGGTCGCCAATCCCACAATTTGGGCGATCTTTGGGAACATCATAGACTAAACTGGCGGATGGATCAAAAATCTTCCAAAAGTTCGAGTCAAATCCCACGAGAATGGCGCAGCCAGTGCTGGAAAAGCTTGTCACCAGTGGATGCTTTGCGAGCAATCGCATGAGCGCGTCGCCTTTTACGTCCTTCATCCTTAGAAACGAGCCCGGCCAGCCATCGAATTCCCACGACAGAGTGACGAGCTCGTGGCGATGACTGTTTGCTCGGATCGTCATCCAGCTGATGGTCGAGTTTGGATTCCTCTCTCGCAATTCGATGCAATTCGTCTTGGCCGTGACCAGCGCGCACGCCAGGAGGTTGTCCAGCCACGGGATTCCATAGAGTTTCTCCTCGATTTGTAGCTCTTGTAAACACCCACGGACGAGACCACTCCAATCGACGTCGCAAGGCAAAGAAATCTTTGATCGTGGGATCCTCACTCTCACCTCTACAATGGATCTAGAAATCTCTTCCACTTCCTCGTGACCAAATGTCGATCGCAAGCTTCGGTCTGGGCGACCACACACGGCCCCCATGCTGACCAAGGATCTCCTTTTTAGTCTGTTTGACCTACCATACAAGGAAGTCCTCTTAAACCCTGGGAAGAACCCTAAATTCTCCGGGCAATGCGAGCGCGATGGGCGTGCTCCTCTTCCAGCAGTGTAATGCAGGCGCTGCGGCGGCGCCCGTGAATCGGAGCAAGGATTGGCGTCCTGGCACGCTTTCCTGCGCGAGAAATCAGCGATTGATCACGGTATGCTGCTCGAATGGCGAGAAATCTGGTGTGGCGATCAAGGTAGAGGGGGATTCGACGCCTAAGAAGCGGCCGGTTTTGTCCAGGGCACCGCCGCGATCTTTCGGCGTTAAGGATGAGGAGCTTGTCCCGGGCAAGGTTTTGACGGGCAGCGTGAAAGCGATCATGACGTTTGGCGCTTTCATCGATTTGGACGCCAGATTCGATGGGCTGCTCCACATCTCCAAGATCTCCGACCGCTTCGTTCAGAATGTGGAGGATGTTCTCACAGTCGGGCAGCAAGTCCAGGTGGAAATCGAGAGCGTGGATCTCCCAAAGCGGCGCATCCAGCTCAAGAGACATGCTGTAATAGCTCAAGGATCAAAGGTCTCTTCGTCTGGAACAGCGCAGGTGGAAGGAACTGGAGCTCTTGCAGCAGTCCCGAAAGATACTTCCACTGGTACTCAAGCAGCAAGGATCCGAGCTTCAACGAATGGAGCTCCAGTGGCTGGAAAAAATGGAGCAGCGGCTTCTCAAGATGATGGAACTAACTCTTCCCGGATCGCAGGAACTTCGACAAAGCAACCTGGAACGAGATTCCAATCACGTAGCAGTAGCAGCACGACGCGTGAAGAGATCTCAAAAGAACCAAGCTCTTCTCCCCTGCCAAGGCTCTCTTCGAGGATTCCTCCACCAAAGACGAGCTACCAGAAGGGTCAGGTGGTGAGTGGAGTTGTGAAGAACTACACGAGGCGAGGGTGTTTCGTCCAGCTCCCAGGAAACCAAGAGGGATTCTTGCATGCCAATGAGATCGAGTCAAGTAGAGAACAGGAGCCCACTCCAGTCGAGAACTTGGTGAAAGTTGGGCAAGAGCTCAAAGTGAAGGTTCTTCGGATAATCGATGGGCGGATCAACTTGACGATGAAAGAGGAAGTGGATCTGAAGAAGATCAAGGAGCTCAATGAGAATGTGTTCGCTACCAATCCATTTGAGCTTGCTTTCAGGAAGAACCCGGTGATCAGGGGGTACCTCAAAGAAACTGGGAGGCTCCAGGGTTCAGAGCATGGAAACGAAGAACGAAGAACAAGGGGTGTTGAAGAAAATTCGAGTGAGGAAAGTTAGACAAAGATAGAGTTGGATTACTTGCTTGACAATGGATCCCATGTTTGTTTAGAAGAACTCTGCAAAGTAGAATTTGTTGCCAACGTGAATATGTTTGCACTGATTGGTCTACGCTTTGCAGAAGGCCTTAGAGTGGAATGGAGCACCATACCAGAGGATGTGGTGGAGCTCACGATTCCCCACCTCGATATGAGTTAATATCCAAAGCACTCATCGATGAGCGCACTGTCATCCATCACCACCCAGAAGGAGGAAAAGGGACGCATTAGAAAGATCAAGAAGCAATCTAATGACCAAAAGCTTCAGGCAAGGGTTGCCATGACTGGACGAGTGTACTCTCATGGTATACATAGGGCCTGGGTCATCTACAACCTCTCAGAAGCAAGGTTCTATGGATTCCAAGCCATTGGCAAGTATAGGCGCTGAGGCCTCTTGGGGGTGCAGCAGGGTCGGAGCCAGTGTGGTGAAGTTTGAAGGAGAATAACTCATGGAAGTAAGTCCTAGCAGTGATTTTGTCACTAAGGGCAAGCTAAGCTAGGCAAGAAGTTCGACTCATAGGAGGAGCAAGTGACCTTGAGACAGAGCCTTTTGTTAAACAATTTCACTCTCTTTCTACTTACATGGCATTGATTTGGCATTTGTTTTTTTTCTGCCAGGGCATGCGTCTCCTATTTGTCACCCAGCTGCCCATTGCCCATTTGGTGGTGTTGTGTGCTTTATGATTAAATTTTGAGATTGTTAAGATTAAATTTTTCACTTTTCTTTTTTGTCTTCCTTGGCTTAGCAACAAAATTGCTTTGGACTATTATAAACTTTTCTTTCATAATCCTTTCCACCAAAGTTTTTTGTTTGCTTAAGCAAACTTGGGATGATAGTGGATATATCTAAAATATGCTTGGATATTCTAGAATATTTTATCATCTAATGATTTCTCTACCAATTTGCATGGGAAAAAGAGGTATAACAAGTTCTAAAGAGAGTCTTTGAGTGCTAAAACCACTACATTTATATGCAATCTCAAAACAAGATGAACATTAAGTTTTCTATATTAGGATATTGAGTTAAATTAATTTTGTATTTATAATTTATAAACATGTTTTGTGAGGTTCAAGTGTATAGCTACAATGCCATATACTAATATTAATATAATGGGATTTTAACTGTCAAATTGGTTTTAATCTGGACCACTCACTCTTGTATATAAATTAAGGTTTTTGTTAATTGATATGCATATTTTCTATATTCCATACACTCACATTAATGGAAGTAAAAGGCACTTTTGATTGTCCTTGAGGATTGTTTAGATTTAGGATTTTGGTTTACATTTAGCTTTTGCATTATTTAGGTTTAGTTTTTTCCATTTCCTTTTTTTGTTCTTTCCTTTTAGGATTTTGGTTTAAATTTAGCTTTACATTGTCTAGATCTCCTTTTCCTTCTAGTTTTTTTTTTTTTTTTTTTTTTTCTTTTGCTCTTTCCTTTTTACTCATCTTTATGGCAGATCAGTAGTCTCCTCCTCTTTTGACTCTAAAGTAGCAGTTAGTGCAATTGTTTAATGCTATATGATTGCAATTAAACAACTAAACTCAATTGATAGTGGCATTCACAGCACATGGTACAGCTCCTCTTACTCTTGGTGCTAATCCTCATGTTTGGCCGGAGTTTTTTCATGGGAATCCTGGGGATGATGTGTACTATTAGTTTGATCACTTCACAGTGATTGCTATATATCATTCTTGGGATGATGCTCCATGTTTGTATGAATTTCCCATATGTTTCCAAGGGATGGTGTTGCAATGGTACAATGGTTTGAGCATAGCCACTTATGAGGATTAGAGTGTTCTCCTAAATGTCTTCAAACACGTATTCGGACATGCCGACGATTGTGATGATGCCTTCCAACAATTGCATCGTCTTTATCAAGGGCCATTTGAGTCGGTGATGCAATTTGGTGTTCATTTCTAAAACCTCTTGCTTCGTGTAGAGCCAAATATGTTAGAGCAAATCAAGCTAAGAATGTTGTGACCAACTCTTCATCAAGATTTTATTAGACTTGTATATGCACTTGCTTTAGCTACCCTGACAATACTCTTTGCTTGGCACAACGTTATAAGATATCATATCTTCTAGTTTTTGCTATACATGTTCTAATTTCACTTCTTGTGGGTGATGGTCTTGTTTCAATAGAGGTTAATATTGTTGCTACTTGAGTCTAAGGACAAGGGCGAGGACATGGTCATGGCCGTGATGTTCGTTTTTAGATGTATGATAAAGTTTTGGTGTTGTTGGTGTTTTCCAGATTAGTAGCCATCATTTCCTAGATGGAGATCTTGGCATCAACAACATCTTGTTGGTGTTGCTGTAATGGAAGGTTTGGACATCGAGATGCATCTGGGAAAACGAAGAGTTGCATGAGTAATAGAGGGACCTTGCATAAATAAATCAGTGACCCCTCCATCTTTCTTTCAAGAATATCATCAAAGGGTTTACTCGGCATTAATTTATCTAGTGTTTACTTTCCATAACAAGTGGTCTTTTATTATTCTCTTTGTATTAGTTGATACAAGTTTGAGTTTATCTTCTATTGCTCGACTTGTTGCCACACATTGTCGTCTACACTTGTATTGTACAATGGAGCTAGTTTTCATTCTTTATAACAATGGTTGTATACATGCACGGGATGAAGCGGATTTAGTTGATTTCAAGTTTAGGTTGTAGTCATTATGGGTGATGCTGAGTCAAGCTTTTGACCTCATCTTTAGTATGGATTGGTTATAATGTAATCATGCCAAATGTGACTTTGAGGTTTCTCCCCTTTGTCTTATACTTCCTTATATTTTATTCATTCTTCTTACTTCCGTATCTCTTCGTCCCTTTGTTTCTACCTTTACTTCCATTACTTTTGTCCCTCCACTACTTCCTCCAATGTTTCTGTCTTGTTCTGCTCTTCCCTTTTCTGATCCCCCCGACAGTCTTTGTGTTACAGCAGTTGACCGATTCATGAAGAAGTATTCCGATCTCTTTGAATTTGACCTATCGTCTGGGGCCAAGATTGCCACATGTCATTTAATTCCAACCAGGGATGCTCGTTCAATCAAGGTTCCTATTCATCGTCGGTCACCCAAAGAGATCAAAATTTTATGTGCAAATGTCAAAGAGATGTTAGAGAAGGGTGTTATTTGGAAGTCACAAAGTCCTTAAGTATGTGAACCTCATTGTATGATAAAGCTTAATGGGAGTATTCATTTCTGCATTGACTATCACATTAAATGAAGTGATAATCCCGGATGTGTACCATCTTCCTCACACTACTGATCTCTTGGATTATCTGGGGAGAAGTCATTAGTTCACCAAACTAGATCTTGCTTTTGGGTATTAGTAAGTATTGATGGTTGAAGAAGATATTCCTAAAATTGTTTTTTATACACTGTTTGGTTTGTATAAGTTCTTGGTGATGCTGTTTAATTTGAACAATGCTCCAGCAACTTTCTAGCAAATAATAGACGAGGTTTTTTGCAATATGCCTAAAGTGACTACTAACTTCATTGATAATGTCTTGATCCACTTAAAGGGGACGTGGGAGGAGCATGTACATGATGTTTTTAAAGTGTTGAATCGGTTATGAAATGTTGGTTTAAAGCTGAAGTGGTCGAAGTGCGTGTTTAGGTCTAAAAACACAACTTATCTTAGGTACTGTATTTCTTTGTGAGGGTTTGCAAGTTGATCCTGATTAACTTGTAGCTATTCTAAAGTTCCCTACTCTGAAATGTGTGAATGATATGTAGTGTTTCCTAGGCAAGGTGCAGTATTTTGATCATTTTGTGGATCATCTTTCTAATCCCACTACACCGTTGCGAGTGTTACTGAAGTTATTAATATCTTTTTTCATCTGGTCTCCGGATTATGAGCGGGCATTCATGGATCTCAAAGAGCTATTGATGACTCCTCTGGTATTGGCATATTTTAATTACACTTGAACTTTCATTTTCCGCATAGATGCTTCTAATATTGATCTTGGAGGTGTGTTGATGCAAGAGAACCTAAATGTGCTTTGTCAGTGCCATCCCATTGTATATATAAATTATACATTACAACCAGTTGAGGTAAACTACTCCATGATAGAGAAAGAGTGTTTAGCAGTAGTTTAGTTTTGAGAAACTTCATGCATAACTACATAGTTCTCGAATGTTACTAAAAGGTGATTATGTTGCCATTACTTTATTATTGAAACAAAAGAACTTGGTTGGTTGTACTACTCGATAGGCTTTAAAGCTTTAGATATATGATTTTGATATTATTTATCCCCAGGGAGTTCTATGGCTAATGCTGATGCCCTTTTTTGAGCTCCTCTTCCTTCTTCACTCTCTTCTCATGTTTCTGACGAGCTTGTTGTTCTAGCATCTGTGAATTTTCTATATGAGGATTCTGTACCGTCAGCAGTTGTTATACTTGTGTTCACAAAGTGTAAAGCAAGATTTACCTTCTCTTGATGAGATTTTCGAAGCTCAAAAGATTAAGCTATGGATTTGAAGGCTTTAAGATGGGTTTGAGAATTCTATATCACTCACTGATAACTTACTATTCCGGCATTTATATTCTTAATATCGTCTTGAAAACGACCTTCTTTATTTTGTGGGGATAGATCCTGATGATCATTTAAGGTTGGTGGTGCCTTTTGTTTTTATTGCACAATTTCTCTATACTTACCATGATTTTTCTATTCTAGGTGGGTATATAAGACATTGTCGTGTAACCGAAAAGCTATGCAAGTATTTCTATTGGCCAAAGATGTGACATGATATTATCCGATATATGTGTAGCAGTGTTTGGTGCTAAGCTCGTAATACTCCCCCTCATGCCACAGAAGGACAATTGGAGTTAATTGTAGTTTCCCACTTATTTGAGTTTGTGGCGTTTGATCTTATGGGACTTTTTCCATGGTCAACTACTAGTAATGGATATATTATTATTGTTTCTGACTATTTGACTCGTTGAGTGGAAGTTGATGCTCTTGTTAGTGTTTTTACAACTACTGTTAAATACTTCCTCCTCAATCGAGTAGTGTTTTAGCATTCTTGTCCAGAGTGGATTCTTTCGGATAATCATCCCGTATTTATGGTTGAGGCATTTTATATTTTAATGTCTTGATTGGGGATACACCACACTTTCATGAGTGTTTATTATCTATATTCAGATGGTTTGGTGGAATAGCTCGTTTGGACATTCAAAGAAATGATTGTGAAGTACATGAACTTTCAGCATTTGAATTAGGATGGTTATTTGCCATTTCTTCGATATACATTATGTCACATGGGTACAGAGTTCTGTTGGTGCTTCACTATATAAACTCTTATATGGTTATGATCCAATATTACCAATAGAGTTGGGTTTACCTTTGCAATTACCACGAGCTGCTGATACTAGGTCATGGGATTAGTATTTGACAAACATTCTTCCACTTGTCTAAATAGAGTTTGCCAAACACTTAAGCTATATACAAGTGGAACAATAACAGCGTTACAATTCCCATTATCGTCCACCTACGGAGTACAAAGTGGATAACTTGGTGTTAGTCCATTCTCCCCATCTTACGGTATGTGGTTTATCTAAGGGGCTCCTTGCTCAGTAGAAAGGACCATATCAGGTGTTACAGCAAATTGGACCACAAGTTTTTGAGGTTTGGTATGACGTCCAATAGGCTAATCCTCCAATATTTTATATATAAAAACTAAATATAAAAAGTTGGTGCTTATAAGGGATTTGAGTATATATTAAACACTCATTTTATAATGTAATAAACTTGAAGTTTATTTTTAAATTTAGGTGCACTATAGTAGGTGAAAGGCATGGCCAACCACTTGAGACATTATTTAACTCCCCATTAAGTATGTTTATTCTTGTTTTGTGTTTAGTTTGGTTCTAAGCTCAAGCTCCATACTATGCTAGGTAGTGGATATGTTAAACCATAGTATGTTGAAATAACATTAATATTTGTTTGGCTTTATTTTATGTACAGATTTTAGCATTAAGATTTTGGATGTTCTAAGACTATTCTAATGTTGTTTTGTGCTTTTATTTCTTCACTCCTTACCTGAAGTGTAAGTGGAACCAAAAGACGTTACTTTGTGAACTCCAACCAAAGCTACTCACCTCAACTGGATGGAGTAATGTTGCAAAGAATGATCATGGGAATACTCAAGCTGATATGAAATGATATTGAAGTTGAGGAACACATCTTTGCTGATGATGATGATCTGTGCTATGAGTTGTTAAAAAGACATTTGAAAAGTCTTAAAGAATTGCAAGGTTATGACAATGATCCAAGTTGACAATTTAGAAGCTAATATGGTGATAGTTTACAAGCTTGGCATGCATTCCAACAAGAATACAAAAACCATCAACAAACTTAATGCATATGAACTTAGATCTCTTGGGATATAGAGGATTGCTCAAAGCTCTTTTCACTACAAGTGAAGCCTTCAAGAACTCATTCCAGATTGTGTTTAAGCCCAAATTCTATACTAGAGTAATCAATAAGGTATCAATAAGGCCACCAGCATGCTAAAATTATGTCAAGCTCTGTTTAAATAATATAATTTATTTCAAATTTTATTTTGTATTCATATTGTTTTAAGTGTGTATATATATATATATAACATTTTTCTTTTAAAATATAAACTATTGAACTTAGTATATTTTAAAATTAGAAATAAAATCTATAAAATACACCATATGTGGAATTATTAAATTTTATTGCTAAACTGGAAGGTGTGCTATAGTTTCAATAGTGTGCATCCAAGTTAAATGCACAACTACACAATACCATGTAAAAGAGATTTAGAATTGTATATTTTCATAAATTCTTTCCTTTGATTAGTTTTGAATATAAATAATATTAAAGTATAACATTTTTTGCTATGTTTTTGCAATATTTAATTTATAAAATCAATATGCTAATGTGTATCTTTTTACATAAAATATTTTCCACATAAGAGAATATAGTAATAATATAATTGCTATATTGTTGAATATCATAGTCGAGCTTTATAAACTTGTGATCTGGTACTTAATATAGTCTCTTTCACTATAAAAAAAGTTTGATATATCATTTGTGTATTAAAGAATTTGGAAAACAAACTAAATTTGTTTGCTCAATATGTTGTAATGTTGTTATTGTCTCAGTTTATCTAATTTTAAGATTTTAAGAGGTGAGTAGAGAGAATTAAGGTGCTGGTTTTCTAGGGGGTATGGCTCAATGCAAAATCACATTCATAGGACAATGGCAGAATATTAGGAATCTGGATACGAGAATCTCACACAAGGACAATCAAGCAGTAAGGGAATCTTGGTCCTGGAAGAAAATAAAAGGTGAGAGTTTAAAGTTTAGGGATACACCCCTTAGACAACCATGAGCATTGGAGAAGTTTCCACCTTAGAGAGGAGAGTGTTCCTAGTGAGGTATCTCTTTAGGCTCAAGATTGGATGTAGAAACAGGGTGCTCCCAAGCTTTTTATAGTCAATCACAAGCTGTAGCAGCCCAACACAATCTGGATGGACAAAGAAGCTTGCCACTTTTTTTTGTGATCTGGGTGGCGGAATCTCTATATGATTGCAGATGGCTAGTGTTCTCAGAGATGATAGGAGCTGGAGTGTGGAGGCTGCAGCATCCTTGTTACTAGAAGGGCTTGGGAGCTGCTGTAGCCATACTAGACAAGCTTAGAGGCAAGTGGGTGAGAGGTTGGTGAAGATAGGGCTCAAGCCAGACAAGTGGATCCATTTGTTGCAAGCACATTGCACAAACCAAATGGCATAATTGTGTTTTAAAGTAATCTTCATTAGCCACTAGATAATAACTAGAGTGAAGATCTAGCTTATAACAGAAATGAGCTCTAGCCAAACTTTACAAATTGGATATTCATTTTAATATAGCTACATTCTTAATCATTAAGTTTGTTTGCAAGAACCAAAGCTGTCGCAAATCCGGTTTAGCTCTAAACTAAACTCTAAACTCTAGCTAAACTCTATTGTTGCCTCTGTCCTAGTTGGCCACATCTTGGCATGTATGGCATTAACTAAACCACCATGTTAAGCGGCTTTACTAAAAAACGCCACACAAGTTCAGAAAGCGACAATCTTTGGCTCATTGTGGGAGAGAGTTTTTAGTTTAAGGAAAAACCTGGTAGAAAGCTTGAAAATATAAAATATCAGTGAGTGATGCAGCTATAGATGCATAATTTTCAACAAATTTACACAGATAATTGTAGAGGCCAAGGAAAGAACGTAGATGCTTAATCAACTAAGGTTCTGGCTAGTTGGAAATTGCTTGGCACTTATCAAGGACTTGAAGAGTCTTCTCCAAGAGGCACAACTATGGTATATATCATCAGAAACTATAAATCTTGTCATTGCTATAAATGCACCAGATTTTTGTGTTTTTGATGTGTTATGAAATCATAACTACATAGTTTAAGCGAACAAAGTGTTTGACTTTTAGAAATTTTGTTTTGAATTGCAGATGCATATACTTAGCATTCTGCAGAAGAGCAGTGATACTTGGCACAAAGGGCTCAGACCAGCAAGGAAGCCCTCACCACTGCTTGCTGCCCACTGTGATTTCTTGGGGAGCTGATCAACGAGTGCCTACAAGAAATCTCCATCACTATCAACTGTCGCAAGCTTGCAACTTAGAGGAGCCCCAATCTCTAGCGGATCCTGCTGATGGCGCAGGTGAAGAGGAAGAAGTGGAGAGCAGTCCTCAAGCTCATGTGCGCCAGCCGCAGTGGAGCCATTGTGTATACTGATCATGCTGGGGTTGTCAATCATATTGGAGCAGGGCATGGAGCTGGTAGACAGATTATGTGGTAGTGTGGCAAGGGTAGTTTGGGAATTGAAAGTGAGCATGGAGCTTTTCAATAGTGAGCTTTTACACCAAGTCTCCTACATTTGTAGCTCTGTAAAGGAGATACTATTTTGGAGATCGTGTTTTCTTTGAACATGAGCATTACAAAGTTGAAATAAAGGTACAAAAGGTCTAAACTCTTAGTATAAAAAGAAAGATTGTGCACGTCATAGACATTTAAGAAAAGTGCAAATAAAATTTCATTTCAAATGTTACAGGTGCATATATACTCCACAATCATTCCTTTGAATGTCCATTTAAGCCATCAACAAAGCCATCTGTTTTAGGATGATAAGAAGGCAGAAAGGACTATTGAATGTTGAGTCATTGTATTAACACTTTAATAACATTAGAACCCAGGTTAGGATTTTGATTCACTCTCTGCTGCAAAACCTACCATTTGAATAAGGAATTGTGCAATCAAATTAACTACTACATCTAGCAAACATAGAATTCAATCCACCAAGTGAGGAAATTAGAGCTAATAATGATGTATTAATACAAATTCTAAGAAAAGCCCCATCAAGTTGTATATAACCAATTCAAATAGGAAATTTGCACACATCTTGATATTATATGCAAAAATTTATAATAACAGATATAGAATTACCATGGAAGACATATATAACTATTAAGTGATGTAGCATGTTGGTGCTAATAAACCATCATTAACATATACTAGCATATCTCTAAGATCAATGAGCACCAGTTAGTGTTCAACCAAAACTTATAATCTTCCAAAATACATTTTATAATTATGTATTATTATTTGATAAAGAAAATAATAAAAAAAACACCATAGCCACCCAGTCTTTGCATCCAAAAGATGTTTATACCACCCACCAACCAAAGAACTTACCCATCTAGTCTCTCACTCCATGCATTCTTGTGCTCTCAACTTGAATTCTTATGCTCTAGCACAATCTTCCATGGATTCTTCTCTTGCAAATTTGAAGACCTCTCACTTCAAAGTATACTCTTTTGGAGACAATTCCCATGACCCAAAAGCTATTGCCATGAGACTTTCGCATTAAAATTCACAATCCAGGACTACTAACCGGCTGTGGGACGAAGTTCAAAGGCCAAGAAATCACTTACCCAGGAAAATGTATAAAGCTATGCCGGCCCTAAGGGTTTAGGGCTTAGGGCTTTTCGGCTATGGCGTCACGTGTTCTTGGGCGACGCCTCGGAAGCTATGCCGTTGCGAGATTTCTTCCCGCAGTGGCAGCTCCCAGGCACTCGCTCGCCCTCACCCGTTCCATCCCGCTCGCAGCGCTAGCATCGTCATCGTCAGTCCGAGCTTTTGGCTCCAAATCCTCTTCCGGCGACAGTGGCCTCTTGAAGGTTCTCAAGTCGGAGATTGAGCACGAGAAAGGCGAGAACGAAGGCGAGGTGAGCAAACTGTTTGTCTTCCGTGCGTTATCTTTCCTTGTGTTCTTGCTCTAGGATATCAAGGTGAAGCCACCGTCGCCTTTCACGCTCCACAACGAGAGCGGGAGGCAAGAGGTGATCCTCCGCCGCTCCTACAACTCGGAGGACATCGCAGTGACGTGCCTGTTCCGCGTCTCGCCTTACGATGAGCCGGAGGAGGAAGAGGAGAGCGAGGAGGACGAGCCCGACACTCCAGTTTCCCAGGAGGAGATCCATATGGTGGTCACCATCGCCAAGGGAGGCGATGGCCCGTCGCTGGAGATAAGCTGTACGTGCTCGCAGGGCGAGATCGAGATCGAGAAGATCTCGTATCTGGATGACGAGTCGAGCAAGGACGACGAGCTTGCTTACACCGGCCCAGTCTTCGGGTAAGTCCCTCGATCTTGGTGGTCTTGGTCGTTTGATCTGCTGCGAACGTTTTCGTTTCCAGGGAATTGGATGAGAACCTCCAGAAGCAGTTTACCAAGTACCTGGAGGCCCGAGGCATCAACGAGGAGCTGTGTAACTTCCTTGTCAACTACATGCCGGAGAAGGAACGCCAGGAGTACATTCGTTGGCTGGAGAAGATTGAGAAGTTCGTGAAAAAGGAGGCCAAGTAGTATCATAGCGCTCACCGTATGAAACAGATTTTCTTAGGTAGTTCTTGCCTGATTTTTGTTGTTCTTAAGAAAGAGGGCGACGCTGGGGATCCAGCTCCACGCTCTCTAGTTGGAGGCTGGGCGAGGTCGGAAGTTGTTGCTCGGCTTTGAGTTCCATCTCTTGGAGAGCTCTCCGGCCGTAGGCCGTGAGTGAGATCCCGGCTGCCAGTGCCACGCAGAAGCCCACGACGTTGTAGGTGATCTCCACAGCGTTCATGTGTCGCTTGGCGTGCTTGGCGTCGGCCAAACTCTTGAGCAGCCTCCCACTGCGAAGAAAAGCTTGTTAGATCCTTGACACGTAAACGAAAAGTGAGAGCTTTTTACCTGTAGATGGTGATGAAGGCTTCTGGGACCATTCCAGCGATGGAGCCGGCGATGTAAGGCCAGAACTCGATGTTGGTCGCGGCGATGGCGTAGTTGAAGAGCGTGTAAGGGATCGGGGCGACTCGGAGGAGCGTCACAGTGCGGAACTGGTGGAACCAGCCACCGGATTCAGCAGCTCTGAGCACGGCAGCCTTTCGTGGCCACTTTGAAAGCCATTCCTGCCAAGCCAGGAAAGTTTAGATCAATCGAAAAGATAATGAAAAACAATGCTTGACAAAGACGAAGAGCAAACAGAAGAAAATGAAATGGTTGCTTACTTGGATGCGGTGATGGAAGAGGTAGTGGCCGACGAAGTATGGGAGCGTTTGGCCGATGGTCGTGCCAACCATGATGATAATGAAGCCGATTCCATAGCCAAAGATGATGCCGGACAACCACATCGGCGGCCCGGATGGAATGAGCAAGACCGGGAAGATGGAGAGAGCCGCCATGAGCACCAGGGCCAGCTGATGCCGCTTGAATCGTGACGCTACCCACACCAGCACCGGGATTACGATCTGGCGAGAGGAGAAAGAAGAGGTTTTAGAAGAAATTTCCCCTGCCGTGAGAGAAGAAGACCGAAATTTCGGGCCGGATCGACCGTAGGACTCGGTCGATGGAAGAGACTGACCTTGTCGAGCAGCAGCGGCAGGATCCAGATCGCAAACACGATGCTTAGAGCTACGCCGAGAGCAGCGATTCCGATGATCTTGATCCACCGCCTTTTCGTCTTCCTGTGTCTGGGCAGCAGCGGTGCGGGCACCAGATCCACGACCTCGAATTCGTCGATCTCAGCCTCTTCCATTCGCCGGGCCTCCCCCATTCTTCTTCTCGGGGAGTGGTTCTTGGAAGAACCCTAAAAAATACTTCTCTAGAAGGAACTAGATGGTGATTCTTTCGCCGCCTTCCTGCTGCGATTACCAATGCGGCAGACGCATCGCCTTGCTCGCCGCCACAGCTGCCGCGGCATCGTCGACTCTTGCCGCCTCCGCCACTCCTTCGTTCGATCTTGTTGACACGAGCATCACCGATCGAGTGTTCTTCAATCTGGGGCTATGCCAGAGCAGCAACACGCCCGCGGGGGGCCGGCCGACGTGCAGCGATTCCGATTCGCAGCCCCTTGGCCGTGTCGTGATCGGCCTCTACGGCAATCAAGTGCCACACACAACCCGATTGATCAAGGCCATGGCCACCGGCGCGGCGGGGAGCTCCTACCAAGGCACGGTCTTCCACAAAGTGATCCAGGGCCGCTACATCCAAGCCGGGCACCAGGGATCCAAAGAGAAGGGCGAGGTTTCTCCGCCATCGCCAGATTATCTGGAATCCAACCCCGACACGGTCAGTCCCAGATCTTTCCTCCTCCGCCACAGCCGTCCAGGAACGGTGTCGCTGTGCCTGGCCGAGAACGACGACGACGAATCCATCCGGCTCAATCCGGATTATCGCAACGTCCAGTTCATGATCACCACAGGCACGATAATCTTCTTCTCTTCCTTTCATTGAGATCGATCTTCCATCTCGGTTTCTTTGCTCTTGTGTTCTTCGCCAGGCCCAGGCCCAGCTCCCGACCTGGACAATCGAAACATCGTGTTTGGAACTGTTCTTCAAGGTAAAACTCTTTTTTTTTCTCTCATCTCTTGGGCTCGGTGAGGTGGCAATTTTCTTTGCAGGGATTGATATTGTGGCATCGATCGCAGCCATGCCGACTTTCAAACCCAGCGACCGAGTCCGCGAGTTTAACAACATCGCCCAGATCTTGGGCGACGTCCGTGCTAGCAATGCCAGGAGTTCTTGGTACAGGCCCGTCAAGCCTGTGCTCATCACTAGCTGTGGAGAGGAACTCCGATAAGAGTTTCAATCAACAGAGCTCTCTCGATGTTTGATACACGAGTACTTTGAGGTGAACTGCTAGCTCCCAGCCCTTCCGCCAGCTCGCTCGAGAACTTTGCAGCTTTGGTCCACCATTCCAGCTCTTCTATACACGTTGGCCATGACAACGTAGGCTCCAGCGTCCCTGTCGTTCAGCTTGATCATCGAGTCGAACGCCATCTCCGCGATGCTCACGTTTCTCCACTTCTCCGACGCTCCCAGCACCGAGGCCCACACTGTGGAGTCGGGCTCGAAAGGCATCCTCTCCACCACCGCCACCGCCTCGTCCAGATGGTTTGCACGGGCCAGGAGATCCACCAGGCAGGTGTAGTGCAACATGTTTGGAGAGATCCCGAACTTGGTGCTCATGAGCTCGAAGAACTCCCGGCCTTTGTCGACCAGCCCCGCGTGGCTGCAAGCCGTGAGCAGCGAGAGGAAAGTCACGCCGTTCACTTGGACACGCTCGCGCAGCATTTGCTCGAAGAGATCCAACACGCTGCTCGTGTCTCCCGCGTGGCTGTGAGCTTCCAGCAGCGAGTTCCAAGTCACCAGATCCTTGCTGCCTCGATCCATGGAGTGGAAGACTTGGCGAGCTTCGTCCACGCTCCCGCACTTGCCATAGAAGCTGACGAGCGAGCTCCCAACGACGGGATCGTGCCTGTGGACTGATCCAATCTCCTCGGCGTGGATCTTCCTCCCGGTTTCCAGGTCCCCCAGGCTTCCACAGGCCTTGAGCACCGCGGCGAAAGTTAGAGTGTCGGCTCTCACGGTGCTCTCGCGTTTCATCCGGCAGAAGAGCTCCACCGCCAGCCTCGCATCGCCACTCTCGGCGTAGCCGAAGATGAGAGCGTTCCAGGACACGACCGTGCGGCTCGGCATCCTCTCAAACACCTCTCGAGCGCTTTGCAAGCTTCCACACTTGGCGTACATGTTGACGAGGCTATTCGCCACCTTTGCCTCGAGCTCGCCTCCATGGCTCCTCTGGACGATTTGCGAGTGGATCTCCATTCCCTTTTCCAAGCACAGAGCTTTCACTCCATCGCTGCTACCATCGAAGCTTGCACAGGCCTTGAGAGCGGCCACGAAAGTCCGAGCATCCGGGACGACTGGAATCAATGCCATCTCCGAGAAGAGCTCTAGCGCAGCTCGGCCCTCGCCACACTCGGCATAGCCAAGGATCACACAGTTCCAAGATACGAGATCTCGAGCAGCCATCCTATCGAAGACTCCCCTCATCTCCTCCAAGCTCCCACACTTGGCGTACATCCTCAGCAGCGAGTTTGCGACGAGCATCTCCATCTCGAGCCGGGATTTCGCTACTTGAGAGTGGAGGAGCTTGGCCTTTCGCAGCGACACCACTTTCACGACCTTCCCGGCTAGAAGCACGCCTCGTTCTCTCTCGGCACTCGTTGAGCAAGCCTTGAAACCCGCGGCGTAAGTCACGGAGTTGGGAGCGATCCCTTCGACTTGCATGAGCGATAGCAAGCGCAAAACCAGATCGAGCTCGCCAGTCTCGCCATAGCCGGAGATGAGAGACGTCCACGAGATCACGTCGTGGTATTGCATTCGATCAAAAACTCGCTGCGCCTCTCGCAAGCTCCCACACCTTGCATACATATGGATCAAGGAATTGAGAAGTATCAAGTCCATCGCGAATCCTCTCCTCGCTACTGCCAAGTGAACGAACACTCCCTTGTCTAGAAACCACCGAAGATCATATGATACTCCAAGAAACTTTCCTTGAATCTCGTCAGCTTGGATGGTTTCTTCCAGTTCTTCTTTCTCGCTATGAATCTCCAAGCTTGCACAGAGGGCCTTGAGAACCGCGACGTAGCTGAGAGAATTGGGCTCTATGTTCCGCGATTGCATGGTCGAGAGGAGGTGAAGAGCCGAGTGGGCATCTCCAATCTGGGCATAGCCAAACATGAGAGAGTTCCACGACACAACATCGTGGCTGGGCATTGAATCAAACACGCGGTGAGCATCGTCCAGGCTCCCACACTTTGCGTACATTCGGACCAGAGTGTTAGAGACTTTGGTGTGGAGCTCGCAGCTATGGCGGTGGAGGAGGAGGCTGGAGTGGAGTCTCTTACCAGCGTCGAGGTCTCCATTGTTGCCGCATGCCTTGAGAGCCGAGATGATGGCGGTGATGGAAATGGTGGGCTTTGCTCCAGCCTCGCAAATCTCATTGTAGCTCGCCACTACTGTGTTCTCGTGCCACAGTGACATTTAAGATCTTGAGTCTTCTAGGGTTGGTTTTTTTTTGAGAATTTCCAAGATGCCAAATGTATAGCCTATGGCAACAAATATAAGCATCTTTAAACACAAATTAATCTTTGTGTTGAATGAGTACAAAAATCAATAATTATATAATGTTTTCCTTTTGAGATATATATATATATATATATATATATATATATATATATATATATAAACACACTATAAAAGATAGTAAAACACTACTATATTCCCAAAGTGAAAAAGAAGTATTACTTAGTAAATATTATTAAAAAAGATATTAGATGCAAAGCACTACTTAGGAGTATATTTAGAATACTAAGATTTTAAGAAATCTAATACCCAACTCAAAAAAAAGTGAAAAAAAAATTGTTAACAATAAATTATTTTTATTTATTAGATGCAGAATATGAATATATTTAATATACTTCTAGACAAAATAAATTGCTACGTGTTGCATGTAATAACGCATGGTTACCCGAATTTGAGATTGAGTCTAAATACTAATATAGTTCATGGGGTAAAAGCCTAAAGTGATCATCTCCCGGGGGGGGGGGGGGGTGGGGGTGCTATAGAGGGTTCCAAAAGTATAATAATGATAATGAGGTCTAAGAATCAGTCTTGAAAGAATTTTTCAATAGTGATTTTAAACTAATTTGAGGTTGAGATTACGGATTAGGGGCAGGAGTGAGCAAAAACTCAAGTGATATCAGAGAAGCCACCTAAGGAAATGCTCAAGAAGAACTCCCACTTTCGGAAGGGAAACCAACCATAATCTTTCTAACTCATGTAGAGTGGTACCCCACTTGAGTACTATGTAGCTCATTTATTCTTACCCCTTCTTAAGGGCTTTAATTTTTCCTTCAAGATGGAAGTGGGTGAATAAAGGTATTTATACCAGACTATTATGCCATGGTGTTTCCCCTAAGGTCCCGAAGTAAGAGATGCACTCAAGGCTTGGGATTTAAAGGGTCCCATAATCAAGTTTTGTTGTACTAAAGGATGTTAGGAACTTTGAGGTTTGGTGTGGTTGGATATTTGTGCCTGTGGGGAGTATAATTAAACCTTAAGTCTAATATAACTTGGGGAGGGGGATGAAGAAAGAGTTTGGGAATCTATAGATGGATGGTTAACATTATATTGCTTGTGTAGTGAGTAGTTAAAACCAAGTAAAAGCTAGTACAATAGGTGGGAAATTTGGCAAGGGAATTTAACTAATGCCAAGGTAGAGGTGGTCAAATAAACAAAGTAAGCTAGCAAATTAAAAAGGAAAAATTTGTGGCTTACACAAGTCCTTAAATCGAAAATAAGACTCCTCCAAATGGTCAAATGTGTGATTAAGTGACTAAAGTAGAATGAAAAAATTAATCACTTATATAGCCTTTGTACAAAGCCTCAAACCTAGGCTCCATAAGAAAGTTGCCAAGTGCTGCCACTAGCAATGCCACAATGACTAACACACATGTCATAGAGTTTGAGTTGGAAATGTTTTATGAACTCATTGAGGAGCTTGTTCAAGGACCCCTAATAGTTTGTCCCTGTGCCTCTACTTGTGTCATAGCACCACAACCAATCATTGAGAAGATAACCACTACAATTGAGTCTACTTTGGCTGACTTTAAAGAGTACAAGGCAATCCTTCAGAAACAACAAAAGCAATAAAGCAAACTCATGAAGGAACTTTGAGCACTAAAGATGGTTGCATAGGACCACCCATAGTGACAGCCCCATTGGAATGAGGAGTGCAAGGTTTAATCACACAGCATAGTTAGTTCTTGGCAATTATATCCGAAGCTATGTCCATAATTGTGTCAACAAAGACAAATGCCACATGAGCAAAGACTCCAATGACAGTTATTTGTGGAAAACATAGCCTTGAACACCTTCATAGAGTACCATGAGACATGTGCCCTTGAAACACCATCGGCAAATGATCATAGCAAATTCCCAATGAATACAATCTATGTGGTAGAGGAGCTAACAGCAAAGGTGGCTACCCAAGATCAGAGGAAGGCATAAACAGCAGCAGATGAATTGGAAACCACACTAGCATTAGCTCTAGTAGTTGTTTCCCCTCCAGTTCTCACTACTCACAAATTGCCCTTCTTGGAGGCATTTGCAACATTGCCAAAGTCCTTATTAATATCTTAGGTTCCACTTTTTGCATGTGTGCCAAACTTCACCAACACATAATTAGGAGGGTCTCCTTTGATATCAAATCACCCAAGCAATCTTATTGACCAAGTCATGGCAACTCCAATCATGACAACATTTGGTGCTCTTTCCCACCAATTTCTGGCTTTGCTTAAGCAGCTTGAGGTCTTAATATGAGCTCTTAGTGGAATAGCACCCTCTCCAGGCCTAGACATGGCTCTTATTCCTATTTTCAATGCCAAAATGGCTCTTGATCCTAACACATTCATAGTTCTAGTGACAATTTTAGGCATTAATGTGCTTGCTGACTTTAGCTCAGCCATAAACATTCTCTCCTTCACTCTTGCTCAATAAACAAATCTCTAAATCCAGAAGTATTCCAAGGTGCTAAAGACCTTTGCAAATCACACTTTAGCACCTGTGGAAAGTTGCACTTCACAAGTTCATAGTTGACTTCCTTGTTGTGGACTAAATTCTTTGGGAACCTCTTTATGTGAGAAGTAAGTCATCTTAGGACAGCCATAGCTAGATGTGGTGTGTTGCTTCTTTGACTTCAAGAATAGCCAATTGCAAATTAGGTGAAAAACCAGCCAAGTGATAGTCCTCAATGCCAAAGGCCAAGCTTTAGCTTTTCAAGACGTGGCTTAGGTTACAACATCACAGCCAGACCCCTCTTTGCAGCAATCTAGTGCTTGCTCATCACACTCTGATACAACAAAGGAGTCTTTGCAATTGCAATGCAACATAATTGATTTTCTACACACACATTGTCCCTCAACTTCTCCATCCATTCTGCATTACCACACTCACTCAAACTCAAGGAGGCAAAACATCCAAAAAAAAATCTTGAGATTCCAAAAATGCCCAATTTGGAGGAGAATATAATTTTTGTGGTGCCTTTGGAAAGTGACTTTCTTGAGATAGATCCTACTATAGGGACACAAAAGGAGGCTCAACAATACCTCCTCATACAGCTAGAGGTGCTAGATCTAGTTCTTTCTAGCTTGGAGATTCCATACAGCTATATTAACAGGGGTGATATACATATGAATTTTCAAGAAAAAGTAGTGGCTCTTGACCAGGAAAGAATATGGTCCATAACACTCTAACACAATAGATGGATATAGTGCATGCAAGCCATAAGCTTGCAGATTATCTACCAGCTAAAGGTGGTGAAAGTAGCACTTTTTCTCCACCATCAGCCTAGCTCTTTTTCGAAGCTTCTCTAGCCTTGACACATCACACTAGATTTCTCCAACCACAAGATATTAACTATGGCATCATCTGCAGTGATTGTGGTATCATTTGTGGCTACTCTGGATTTTTGTGAGCTCTTCCAACTGAGTTCACTGCTTTGGAGCCACATTCTTCCATACTCTAAGGGCTTTAGACATTGCCACACATATATGAGTTCCAGATTTCCTCATTTCAGCAATCCTACTCATTTTGGGCCTACATGACATCACACATTAGAGGGTGATATGGCCAACTTTTGCAGCATCTTTGGCCTCCTTCAAAACTCTTTAGGATCTCTAAGCACAAACTCAATCACCAGGAGAGAGTTCTTCAATCTTTTTATGTTGTGAAATCTTTCTTTGTCTTCCTCTTTTTTTTCTTTTCACTTGCCCTTTCCTTCTTCAACTTTCTTTCATGTTTTCTACTTTGTTCAGATGGTATTTCCTCTAGAGAACCAAGGTCTTCCCTAAGTTGTTCCTAAGGCTACATCAATCTTGTTCTTCTAGAAGCTCAAGTTTCTTTAAAGTTTAGTTTTTTGTCCCAGTTTTTCTCCCAATCACTTCATTCTACATATCATTCTCTCCATTCTCATTTACTCATAGTCACTATTCACTCATTTAGTCACTCATTACACCATTTTCCATCACTCATTACACTTACCTACTTATGTTCCATCCCATTTCCACACCATATGTCCACAATGTTGGGGATCCTGCACTTTCTATAGCAATAAACTAGTGATCTGAGTAGATGTTGCCTACTAGCTGCACATGTTTTTCTCTTTCACAACAAGTATGCAAGATGTAGACACACTTGACAACCATCACATACTAGAAGACCCCCACCATTATCATCTCACCATTCGGCCGCCATTATTACTCACCAATCATCACCACAACCACTCTTTCACAGTCACCAATTGCTTTCACTTGCACTCTTTTTTTATTAGGACTTTGAGATTGACTTGGGAGAACTTGGGGTACTTCTTGGAGGCTCAAGAGCCTTTGAGGCAGCAATTCACGTTAGTCCTTCCTATCCTTTAGGTACACTTTACTTTCTTTGCCTCTTTATCTCTTTGTTTGTTTTCTCTTTTCTTTCTTCTTTGTTTATCCTAATTCCTTTTCTCTTGGGTTGAGTTCTTAGTTCTTGGATCAAGTTTTTCTTACAAGGTTTTCCCTTGATCCTAAAACTTTGTAACTTCTTCTCTTTCTCTTGTTTCTTTCTTTGTGTTTTCTTTGTGTTCTTCTCTTAGTAGTGCCAACACAACATATCATATTGCAGAGGTCATAGGTTTCTCACACACGGTAGAGCTAGCACATTACCTCATAATCATCTATTAGGATATAGCTTAGAGCTTGAGCAAGATTCCTTGGTATATTCCACTATTGGAATATAGAGTGCAAGTGTATATTCCCCTTATTTTCTAGGGTAGATGTAATGCACCCTATCTTTCTCCCTTTAAACCAATTGGAAAGGGGCAATTGTTTGATGAGAGAGAGCCTTTAATGGCTATTTTATCCCTATTTATCCCCTAAAGTTCCAAAGATCCATAATGATAGTATATCCAAATCTCATCCCATGATCACATGTGCTACATTCACCCCCCCC